TGCAGAGACTGCATTATATAGCTCACTAGTTTTAAATTTCATGTAAAGTTTGGAGCCATCAACATAAACAGCAGATTGACAACGTTTAGGTATAGATAGTAAATCATTTATGTAAACAGTAAACAGAACGGGACCAAGAATAGATCCCTGTTGAACTCCCTAATCAACTGGGAGGGACTGCGAAACCACATCCCCAATACGATTTAAGCGTATGATGAGAGCTTGGAGTCTTTCAATAAGCATAAGGCATCAATAGGCCTTAGTCCTGACCTTTCAGTTCAAATTAGGTTTGGTTTTACGACACTCAGCCGAAATACGTTGTATTTATAAACCCTTGTTTAGTTGAAAATGTATATTTTGCTTCAAAGATATACAAATTTACCTGGAAGATCAGTAAAGAAAATCGAAATTTCAAAGAGTCTTAAAGAAAGCGCAGCACGGCATTGCCTGTAGCCACCCCAAAAGCAAAGCTCTGGGTCGAAAGACTGCTATTGTTTGTCTATTCATGTTGAATTTATGGATTTGAATATTGTATAATACTGACAAAGTCTGGCGTATTGGACTTGAATTATCACAGACAGATAGATAAGCGATGGACATTCAATTTTTCTTGCTGAGATATTCTTGTTGATATTGATCAAGGAGTACTAATAAGGAAATATGATTTCAAATAAAAAAGCGTGTGTTTTACGTTAATTGCTTGGAATTTCCTTCCTGTTTGAGTCACGAATTTGTAAAAGAGTGGTTCTTGGAAATGGTTCTCCCCATCCCTTGGGATGTCGCGCAACGCTCTCCTTAAAATATAGTTTATAATTCTCTTCAATTTCATGGCATGCCAAAGAGAGCAGCTACGAAGGATACTTCGGAAATAAAAAACTGGGGTCCAAAAATACTTCTTCCACCTTGTCGGAGGGGTCAGTTGAGATTTCCTTGTATGGCTCGACCCAGTCATACGTAGAAATTCATCACCCACGCTCTGTAATAGCTCCACTTTGCGTTTGGTTTTAACCTCACAACCAACAACAGTCAAACCTGTATTATACGGTCACCCACGGGGAATGGCGCTCAATACAGATTACACGGAAGCATTAAGAAAAAACATAAAAAACGCCATTGACCACTTGATGTACTCGCTCAAAAATACTACTAACATTGATCGCAAATTTTACCCTTTAATATTTTTCAAGAGTCGTCGCTCCTTTACTGCTAAAAGCTCGGGGGAATTAAACTGCATGTGCTCTTATGAATAAATTATTCCTGTTCCAAAAATATTCAAATCTGAAATAAATCAGTGTATTACCAGGTAGACTGGAATATACACAGAAATTTGTAGTAAACAAATTTTAGCGATTCCAGAAACCTCTCTGTAATCTAAAACTGAAATTCGATGGTCTGTAAATGAGTTAGAACAATTGAATACCCTCGATAATATATTTATATCCTTAACGCAAGGTTTTACTGCTGTAATAGACGAATTAGAGCACGATTTTCGGAAAGGTGTGAGACATTTTCAAGACGCGTGGGGTCCTTTCAGTTCCTTTTTTTTTTAACGGGCTTAAAATATTGATCAAACAAAACCCGTCACGTATTTAGTCCTAGTCCATGCGGTATCTGTCGATAATTTATGATAATGATGATAATTTATGATAATGTATGTTGTGCAGGCCTCCTCCCCTGCGGCAGTTCCTTTTAGAAGAACTCAGCTTCTTTCTTTTTTTTTCCGATTTGGTCCCGGTATCGACAGAATCGCTTGGGAAAAAACATCATAGAACGAGTACTTTTTCCCACTTCTCTTCAGAGAGGGGGATGGGAAAAAAAGAAAATAATATCAGGGGATTTTTCGCATCAAGTGTAGACAGAAAACTATGTACTGTTCAAAGGAAACGATGACATCATAACACAAGTTGAGGGTATGAGGGACTGACAGCCGTTCTTGGGATATCAAGCAACGCTACATCGAAAAAAGTCAAAAATTGTACTTCGTTTTCGTCAGTACGATTACGGTTCACGTTCTTTGCATGGGTCTATTTCCCGAAAATAGGCTGCTTATTAAACCTACATAAGACTAAGCTATCGTTCGGGGTCGTTGACTCAGCAACTGATAAAACTCGACCGATTGTTCGTGTATGTACCCTCAGAGTGTTCTCTTACATAAGCGAGTTACGTTATGGGTCGTACGTACAGTTCATATGTCTAATATGAACAACCATGAAAAAAAAAATTCACCTCGACATTGTTACACATAGCTGGTGAATCTCGAATTTCAGCAGGCAGAGATTTCTTAGCTAACAAACGCTAAGCAGCTGAACAAAAGTGAATCATGCGAAATAACTAACCTTTGCATCCAAATCACGCATCAGAGTTCTTGTCAGTACGATGGACGCACACAGACAGACATAACTGGATGAACAATTCTTGCCAATTTCATCGCAGCCCTCGTTCCTCTCAGTATCGGGCTTTGTATGGGGTAATCATCACCTGCCCCCGAAGATTTACAAAACGCCGAGAAACCTTCGGATGTCCGATTATCCAGTGAACAGGGATCTTAGTTTTCAGTAAGTTTTTAATTGTTTCTTTTTTTCTACTCTTCAAGAGAAATGTGCATATTGAAATAAATTGATATAACTACAATGATTATAGATAATTTAGCGATAATTTGAGTAGTAATCTCACTGAGCACAGCCTCTAAAAAGCCTCTAAAATTCTAGTTATTTAGAGACACTAGAGATAATAGCGGAACAAACAATTTGACTGAAAGGTATTTTGAACAAAAGGAGTGAAACAAAACGGACTTTATATTTTACTCTGTGATTGCAGCTGGCGGCGTTTTTTAAAACCGTGACCTTCTCTTCTCCCGCTAAGGAGTCTGGTGCCAAGCTATGTCACCGCGCTACAAGCAAATTATCGTCATACACTTAAAAGCCACGATAAAAGATGAAAAGGTCTCGTCATTTGCAATCACCTTTCACTTAGAGCTCTCCATTCATTAAAGTGCAGTTTCATTTTGTTATGACGAAACTGTAAATGGTACGCATCATGATTAGCCATGACCAATCCTCTTCCT